AAACTGTTGTGTTTATAAAGAGTTCATCTGGTCCCAAATGAGGCAGTGGTCATGTCCCCCTAGTGGTCTGGCTTATTGCAATCGATCTTTTCGGTGTTCCATGCATAATGTCTGTTATTTTGACAGGTAAAAGAATTGTACTTGTAAATTTGATTTGTACTTGTAATGTGGCAAAGTTGTAACTTTTTAACTTGTATTTGTAACTTAAAAACCTGTATTCTCACATAAGAATTGTACTTGTAAATTTGATTCGTACTTGTAATGTGGCGATGTTAACAAATTCATGTACGTTTATAGACTTACATGTACAAATTTAGGCTCTTACACATACAATAATTCTGACAGTTCTCTTACCCGATACAGAAGGATCTCTGGAGCTTATCAACACTGTAGCTGAGCATGTTTCAGTTTTGAATGAAGCATGTAGGATTGAGCACTTGACCCTTTCATGGCGCACAGTCTCATGCCCTGAAGGGTGTATACATGACCCCTTTCTCCTTAGAGCTTATCATCAGTAAATCTTTTTTTTATGACTAACTTCTGTTGTCTTTTTTATTAACAGCTGGTCAAAAGGGAAGGAACAGGCTCAGAGCTGCCCATGACGGGTGACAAAGTGTTTGTTCATTATGTGGGCACACTTCTGGATGGGACACACTTTGACTCCAGCAGAGACAGAGGAGACAAGTTTTCCTTTGAGCTGGGCAAAGGTTGTTGTTTTTTTTATCTAAGCAGCACTAATATTTGTCAGCTACAGCCTCACACTGATCATGATTATGCTTGCTCTATTTAGGGCAAGTGATAAAGGCATGGGATATCGGCGTGGCCACAATGAAAGTGGGAGAGTTGAGCCAGTTTGTTTGTAAACCAGAGTATGCATATGGATCTGCAGGCAGCCCACCAAAGATACCTCCCGATGCCACTCTTATTTTTGAGGTATGCTTAATTTGTAATGTGGCTAAATGTTTAAAACAGTGTAATCTCATTACTGGCTTGGAAAATCTACACATTAAATCGTGTTTCTCTCTTGAAGGTGGAACTGTTTGAATTTCGAGGAGAGGACATAACAGAAGATGAGGACGGAGGAATCATTCGGCGTATTATCACTAAAGGAGAGGGTTATTCCAAGCCCAACGAAGGAGCAGTTGTGGAAGGTAATAACGATAGCCAATTCATTTACAATTCAGAGGGCTACGATACAATTATGAAATGATTGATGCTTCTCGGATTATTTGCAGTTATCTGGTTTGTGAATTAACAGGATGCAGCTAGTAAGCCTTAGCTTACGATGATATTTAAAGCAATGTGCCACTGAAGTACAGAGGTAGAAGTTCAATTTTACAAACTGAAGTGACTCATTTATTTTACGTATGTGAACAATACCTTACAAATGTTCCTGCATAATAAAAAGTGCACAATGTGACAAAAAAAACTTGTTAATAAAAGGCTGCTGATAAACAATTAGCATAGATGCTAACTTAACATTGAAAACATCACAGAAAAGCTAATGTAATGTGTTATCCCTGAGACTTTAGACACGAATCAAACTTTTGTAAGTCATCACTAAACACAGTCATGTTTTGATAACTTCAGCTATTACTTACAGACACGTTTTGTTAAGTGTTTACCAAAGAAAAGATGGAAAAATGTGAAAACGGCAGCATGTTTCAGCTACAGCAAAACCTATATGACAAACCGCACTGTGGTGACACTTAAAAGTGGCAACACAGATTAACGTTAAAATCATTTTTTAACATCCATCCATTCATCTTCTCACCCGCTCATTCCTTTCAGGGGCGCATGGGTCACCGGTGCCCATATCCAGCAGTCACAATGCGAGGGGCGGGGTATACCCTGGACAGGTCGCAAGTCCATCACAGGGCCACACATAGAGACAAATGAGACAACCATTCACTCTCTCACTCAGGGACAATTTTAGAGTTACCAATTAACCTAACAGTCATGTTTTTGGTCTGTGGGAGGAAACCGGAGTGCCCGGAGAGAACCCACGCATGCACAGAGAGAACATGCAAACTCTACCCAGAAAGGTCCCTGGGCCGGGATTTGAACCGGCGACCTTCTTGCGGAGAGGCATCAGCTCTACCAACTGAGCCACCGTGAGCCATTTTTTAACAGTTGGGAACTATTCAGATTTGTCTATTTCTGTGACACGTCAAAAAATAGATTGCTGCCCCTACCCCTAGAAGGTTGTTGAGTTGCAGCCATTTCTATGCCAGCATTAAATTGACCATTCTGATGGGGAAAACCAATATTTAGTAAACAGCTTTTTCAAAAACTGAAAGGTAAAAATGAATACTTTTCATCAGTGTAGATCATAAATATGTTTTAATTTATTTGTTTTACATTTCAGTCACTGTGGAGGGTACCTGTGATGAGCGTGTTTTTGACCAGAGAGAACTAAAGTTTGAGATTGGAGATGGAGACAGTTTTGGTTTGCCAGCTGGTTTGGAGAAATGCATCATGGCCATGGAGCAGGGAGAAGAGGCACTCTTCACAATCAAGTCTAAGTATGATTGAGTTTAATATCGCACCTTCACCTTGTTTAATGTGAAGTCCTGTCAGAGAGTTGTCCAGAGTTACTCTGATGAAGAGCTTTAACGTCTGTCATCATAGATTGCTGTCACAACTTAGTGGTTAAAGACTACTGAATGTAAATTGGTATTAATTGTCTGGCATGATTGATTGAAAACTGCCTTGTTGCCCAAGCAAAGCGACAGCTTTCATACACTTAAGAGCGACAATGTTTGTGGTTTGCAGATATGGCTTTGGAAATGCTGGAAGTGAAAAGTATAACATTCCTGGTGGAGCAACACTGAAATACAAGATAAAGCTGACAGCCTTTGAGAAGGTAAGCAGATCCTGCAGCTATGCAGCAGCTTAACAGTAGGTGTTGAATAGCTTTTGTTTACCGAACGTTTTTTTCTGTTTCTTAGTCGAAGGAGTCATGGGAAATGAACACTGTAGAAAAGCTGGAGCAAAGTAGTATTGTCAAAGAGAAAGGAACACAGTATTTTAAGGTATGTCTTAAAGAAGCATGTTTCATATTGGTGTGTTTGCAAACTATCACATTAACCCTTGCTTGAACGTTATTGAAATTTGTAAAAAGTAACTGTTTTCTGCAAAACAAAAAAATGTGTAATAGTTTATGCATTTACTGCCGATGGCATAAAAAAATGTTTAAAAAGCATTAAATTGGTTTGGCTGATCTGCAGGAACCGTGACCATAACGCAGTAAAGCGGGGCGGCTGTGGTAGAGTGGTTAGGGGGAGTCGTCCTGGAACCAGAAGGTCGCCGATCCCCGTTCAGTTGACTCAGTCATTGTGTGCAAAACACCTTACCCACCTTGCCTACTGATGGTGGTCAGAGGGTCCGGTGGTCACTGTGTATGGCAGCCTCGCCTCTGTCAGTTTGCCCCAGGGCAGCTGTGGCTACAATTGTAGTTTGCCATCATCAGTGTGTGAATGTCTGTAGTGTGAATCGCCTTGTGTGTCCTGGATGGATAGAAAGGTGCTATATAAGTACAGTCCATTTACCATTTTACCATTCAACATTTATTGAGCTAAAGTTTGATGTGGTAGCTAAGAGTCGTTCGCGTATCAAACTTTTAATCGTGACCACTTGTAATATCACATGAGATGGCAAATAATTGTATTTACATGCAGGATAGTGGGTCACGAGGACCGGAATTGAGAACCACTGTTCTAGCGTGATGTGCATCCGTTCAAGCAATTCTAGGCCTTGAATTTTTCCTGAATTTGAGCATATTTTGCTACTTTACTGTGACTTTTGACCAACTGGTTCTTTGTTACAGGAGGGAAAATACAAGCAAGCATCTGTTCAGTACAAAAAGATTGTTTCTTGGTTGGAGCATGAGTCTGGCCTGTCCGAAGAGGATGAAAAGAAAGCAAAAGCGTTGCGGCTAGCTGCGCACCTGAACTTGGCCATGTGCTACCTTAAAATGCAGGAACCAAACCAAGCTTTAGAGAACTGTGACAAGGTATTGAAGGTTTACTCTCTGCATATAGAAACATGTCGCAAAAACAGTTTAATTCTTTAACAGTAGATCGTAAGTTTATCTCAGGAGAGTTTGTTTCATTAGAATTGCAGATTTGTCAAAATGTTTTAATCAGGCTGTTTTCAGGCACTCGAAATCGATTCCTCCAACGAGAAAGCTTTGTTCCGAAGAGGGGAGGCGCTGTTCTGTATGAAAGAGTTCGACAGCGCGAGAGACGACTTCCAGAGAGTTGTTCAGCTCTATCCTGCCAACAAGGCTGCAAAGAGTCAGGTAAAAGATTAGATTTCCTGTTTTTTGTTTGTTTGTTTTGTTTTTTTGTATGATGCTCTTTGTACAGAAAAGGCCACGCACTGAAAATATTTCTAACTGCATCAAATTTCTCAAATCATTTTTCTGTTAAACCAGTCATTTATTGCTGCAGATCCTGTTTAAGTCTAAAAACATTGTTTGCTCGTGTCCTTCCAGGTGCTCCTGTGTCATAAACGTATGAAAGAGCAGCACGAGAAGGACAAACGGATCTATGCCAACATGTTCCAAAAGTTTGCAGAGAGGGATTCGAAGGTAAGGGCAGCCGTGCTTCACAGCCACCACTAGAGGGCGCACCAAGTGTGTTTATCAGCTGGTTTGTAGCTGAACGAGAAGGTGCTAATCTTTGTTTTTACCCTTTCATCCACGGAACAGAAAGAAGCAGAGAAGGTGAAGACTGACGACAAAGAGAACGGCGATGAAGAAATGGAGGTGGAAAATGGGGAAAAGGAAACAGCGAGTGAGGCGAATTGATGTGATCTCGTTGTGATTCAACTGTAATTAGACTTTTATAACTGGCCGTTTGTGTTTTAAGGTGTGATCTTGTGTGTGTGTATATATAAAAATGTATATGAGTGAGAGTGGCTGAGAGCACTGACCTTGGGCGTGTCTTTTGACCTTTCGTTGTGTCCGAGCTCTCTGGTGTGGCAGCTAGCTGAGTGAGGGGGGGCTTCCTCAGTTGATGGCACTATGGGATATGGATTTATTAAATGAATTGAGTGCCATTACCCCAGCTCTGAACCCTTTTAGCCCACAGCTTGGATCTGTGCATGTTGATTTTTTACAGAAGTGAGTTGGAACAAAAGTGCATCCCAGGTGTTGCGTGCAGAATTTCAAACCACCTCACCCATAAAGGGCTAGACCATCCATTTTCCCCTGCACCACCTCCTGTCCTACTGCCCTCCTCATTTTTGCTGTCCATCTAAGCCTCCACTCATGGGCCTACTGATCAATTCCTAGAGCAGTGATGGCTGTGTGTGTTGATCTGGTGTGTTTTGAATGTTAGTGCCTGTGTCCTAAAGTATGTACGTAGCAGCACTGTGGACTGGCAGATTAATAAACCTGGAATAGTTCAAACTTCGAGCCACTTTCAGCTTAAAACGTGGAGCTCTTAAAACCTCTAGGGTACAGGACTGTTCACTTTTTTTTTTTCCTTTGGAAGTATTGGCTTTGTACTTGTTTTTCTTTCTTAGTGTTGTGCTTGTGATTTCTGTATTGTTCTCAAACACGTTTAAAAAAATTGATTACTCAACGAAAACGTGCTTAAGTTCTGTTCATTTTAGTAAACGGTGCCTACAGGGACAAAAATTAAATAGATGTCTAATTTTAAGACCAGCTTTTGAGTTTCTTTGTTGAGAAAAATCACTGCTTGATTTGTCTTGACAGAAGGATATAATAAACTGTAATTATACAATAAACAGAGCATGTGATTTTTTTTAAGTATTCTCTGCTTTGTCTGCTTATGAAAACAACTGAGAAACTAAAAACAGAGTATTAATGGTAATCAGTGGCCTTCAGTTTAAGTTATAACAAATGAAACAGCATATATTTTCTAAATCAGTTATCAAAATGGTATGACAAAACAAAATTTGAAACAGTAATTGGTGTTACCATCTTTTTTTTCTTAAGTGGCATCTGTTTTTCATATTCTTCCACGGTTTCAATACTGTAGTGATTAATCAGCTATACTGTACCAAACATCTACCAATAATCATTTTTAAATATTAACTGAAAATATGGTCGTCACCTGAAAAACAAACTGCTGTAGGAGGTGAAAAACTGCATGGGAAACTAAGGTGAGGTTGCTTTAGGTCACAGGCAAATGGCACAACAAAAAAACGAGGAAGTTAAAATACATAAACAGACTCTTTAATGCGAAGACTTCTCAGCGGACCAAGTTTTTAAAATTTAATGTTCCAGATCTTTTGAAGAAGCTCAAAGAAATGAGAAATGCTTGGGACTGCAGTGATTGGCCAGGGGAGTTTTACGCAGCAGATGAAAGCTGCATCATATTTAATGTTGTATTTAGACTGGATCAAAATTATTGTGGGGATCATATCCATAAATCATAAATCATTAGTTCTACAAGATGTTTGAGACAAACTACCTGCCAGGTTTCTTTAAAAAGGGGTGGGGTATTGTGTCTTACAGGCACATAGTTCTATACCACAATCAACTTATGTTGCCTTCAGTCATTGAAAAATGCTATATATATTAAAGATAAAATTTATTTTGCATCATGTCCTATCTAAAAACCTTGAAATTGACCTCTGTCTCTCTACAAACTTCCTTATCATTTAGGACACTCCCAACTCAGCACTTTTTCCACAACAATGCTTTGGGGGAGTGGTGCTCGGATGAGAGCTCTGTTGCAGACTTGAGTTTCAGGGAGCTATGTACAAATAAGACAATGTTTTGTACCAGCAAGAGTTTAGGCAGATCCAAATGGCTACAACACGAGATTCAAAGATTTCTCAAACGTATGAATGGGCCAAAACAACAAGGATGATGAGGGAATGACATAACAGGATATAAGGCTCAAAAAAGTCGAATTTGCATAATAGACTCTCACAGGCTTAAATTAGTTTCTCTGGTTTTAGTGATCTCTTTGTATCCAGTTTCATAAGCTTCAGCACATTAGTGACATGTTTATCTGGACCCCCATTCTTTTTAAAAATGCGGACAAATTGTAACATCTTTCCCACAACCACAGAATGTGTTTTCTGACAGGGTTGTTACAGAAATATTTATAATATTTTTATTTTGTTAAATCCTGCGGATGTTTTATGAAGATTATCAAGGCTGCACCTGTTTTAGTCAGCAGGACATGGTCTTTGTTTGCTCCCTATAGATGAGTAGGAACTCTAATCTCCTCTCAGGGTCACGGAGATCATCTTACAAAAGTGCTCTTTCCCCCCCATCTGCCTTTTCTTCATTCTGATAAACAAGGAGGAGAATGTAATTATCTGTGAGACATTCCTTTCTTGTGTCAAAGAAAATATTAAATGTTAGAAATAGAAATGATGTGGGATATCAGTTCATCTTTGTGATACTTATGGCTGACATGAATATATATCAACGCAAAAGTCTGGAGTCATCCATTATTTATTTTAATTTCAAAGTGGTCTGATTAGGTCTTAGGGCCTCTTTGAAGGTCTTTCAAATTTTTTTCTTCAGGGAGGTTCTGCTGTTTTTTCACCTACTTTCAGCTCAACACCTGAGCACTTTTAGAGAAATGTAATTAAGTCTCTTAACTCTGACCTGTGAATAATTCAGGCACAAAAAACCACTAAACTCAAGGGTTGAACTTGTGTCTACACATAATTAAAAAACTTTTTTAAATAGGACCTTTAGTTCATTTTTGCAGCTTGTCACAAATACAATTTTTTTTCCAAATTCTTTATCTGGGCCTATGACAAATACAAATGCATAAATATACTGTGTATATTTCAGCAGCAACAATCCCCAAACAGTTATCAACTTGACATACAGTACCGAAAGATGATGCATCTCCCACATCTTCTATCAGGTCTGGATTCTTCTCTTTTTCTTAAAAGACATGACCTTCTGACACTGTTCGTCCGCTAAAGGGGTGGTTGTGTCTGTCACTTTTTCATTTGTCCTCCACTTTTAACCACTTCATTACACAACATGACACTGACTTGATCAGAATCAGATAGAACTAGACATGGGTTTTTACGATGTAAAAACAAGTGTGCATTGCCATGTAGCATGGCTTTGCCTGCAGCATTGGACTTGCAGAATGAACTTTGACCAAGTTCAAATATGTTTTCTATTCCAGCTTGTGCCTGTCACATCAGCAGGTGTTTGTAATTAAGGTAATTGTGTGATAATATGAAATTTGAAGAGTTTTTTTTTTTTTTGTTTAAGTTGCTTTAGCTGGGTTTTGAACCCTGATCTCCCACATGAAAGTCCATGACATAGACCATTAGACCAAGGTGGCAGGGGTTGATTTGTATGTGTGCAGAAAGAGACCACATTGCCAATACAATTATTGACACAAAAATGCATAATATTACAACAATCGAGCAGTATTAAGACAATATTATAGTAAAACATCAAAATACAATCATATTAGTACTGTAAACACTGAACTACTGAGTTGAAATATTAAACTATGGTGCAGTACCAAGTTGAGTACAGCATGGGGCAGTATTGGACCAATACAAGGTTCCACTGACTGCCAGTATAATTCATTAAACATTAATATTTCATAAACTATAAGTTTTACAGGCACCAAAAGGCATAGCCATCATTTGGCACGGGAGCTTTACAGATATAAATTACAATGGCAGCTCTAGGACAAAGTATGCAGGAGGAGAAGCATGGCAAAGTTGAGATAACTTGGATGACTGGACAGAAAAAGCAGCCGAAAGTTTAAATAGAAACTTTTTTCTTTTTTAGTTTAACTAGAATCTGTGAAAGAGCTTCAGAAAGTTTTGAGATATTATTGATCAAGAAGGAAAGTCTGGCTAATTGGACTATAAAGACTATAAAAAAGATGATGTAAACGTTTGCACTGATTGAAAGTGATAGCACTACACTCTGGAATAAAATAGCATTTAGAAGCACATTAAATTAGCTGGTCAGGTCCAAAATACAAACGTTTTATTAGCCTGGTTAGCCAAGAGAGCTAAGGTTTCTTGTGGTAAACAAACAGAGTACTTTAAAATACACGCTGTACGTTTTTATTACGGGGTGAATTCCTGCATTCTCATGATAGGAAAGAAGCCACTAAAATATCAAATTATGAACATACAGTACCTGTTCCAGGTAAGTCTGGAGTAAGGGGTGGGGTTTCTGCTCATGTTTGTTCGCCCTTCAAATCTCAGAGCCACTTGTGTAAAGCTAACTGCTAGCAAGCGTGTATTATTTCCGGTCTTGCATTTCAAAATAAAACAACCAATGAAAATAATAAATGTTTATTGAAGTAATGGAGCTAAATGGGAAAAAATATAAAAGCACTACTATGTTGTTTTACTTAATAAATTAAATTGCAAGTATATAGGTATGTATACGTGACTTTTTGTGCCTCCATGCTTTGGCAATGCTTTTAATTTTAATCTACACGCGGTCGTGTTTGGGCAGTTTTCTACCTTGTTCTGTCTGACTTGATGAAATGGTGATTGGAGCCGAAGCTGGTGTGAGATTTTCACTCTTCATTGTGCTGCTTCGTGTGTGAGTGTGCGTTTCAGGGCTAGCAGGAGCAGAGGTTAGGATCCCCGGCGCTCCGTCCGTGATTCAGAGGAAAAGAGAAACTCTTTGAAATATTTAGATGAACGAGTATAGATTGCCAGTCGTTTTGTTTTGTTTTTTTCAAGCGTGATGAGAGCAATCAAGAGGGGACTTACGCACTGGGTTTGTTTTTAGGGTATTGGTAGTGAGCAGCAGCACCCACCGGGGATCGAACTCGCGGTGTGTCCGGATCCCCGCTGCTAACAGATGAGAAAAGCGGGATAAAAGTTTCGTCCCGGAGCCAAGATGATCGCCGCGTTTTTCCCCTTGAAGAAACTGCGTCGGAAAGGCAAATGTGTTCTTTTTGGAGCCATTCTCCTGGTTGGAGCGTTGGCCGTCTACAATGAAATAGTTGCTGCTGGCAGGGCACCATGGAGCAGTGCAAGCGGTGAGTTGTGACTCAACAAGTGGCTCTGCCACTTTAAATCATTCATAAACACAATTTAGACAATGCTTCTATTCAAACAAACCGCTACCAACAATTAAAAAAAAAGCCAGAACCTAGAAATTGCACTATATTAATTTGCATAAATCTACAATTAAATTGAAAGATGTGCACAAGAGAAAATAAAGTTAAAGGGGCAGTGGTATTAACAGGCACATAGTTCAGTTATACCACAGTTATGAAAATGCTGTGTAAATCAAAAAATACATTTGAATTTGCATCATACCCTACCTAGAGTTTATTGTGCTCCAGGGAGGTGGCATGTGCAGATAGGCGGTGCTTTGTTCAGGTGTTAGCTCCACATGACCTCCACAGAAGATTCAATGAGTTCTTATGAGTCAAATCAACATTTTGGGTATGTTTTTTAATCAGGTAATGACATTAAATCATGATAAAATTCAACAAAGTCAATTTTGCATAATCCCTTTCTGAAAATCTTTTTAAAGACATGGTGGTAATATAGATAAATGGTTGTGTCTGTCACCCGCCTAATGTCTTCTAATATAGGTGGCCTCATTTAAGAGCTACACTCATGTTGAAACCATGTGTCATGACACTGCAGTTTGTCACTAAGCAAAAACCTCATCCCACAGTGACGTTTCATGCAGCTTATTCTTGTGTAACTAGAAACATGTTTCCGATTTGTGGTCAGAAAGGGCTTGCAATGACACACAGTTGCAGGAATACCTTACTGAATTGCATCAAGTAAATTTTGAGTTTATTCATTCATTAATATGAAAGTTTCACACCAAAAGACTACGTTTCGGTGGCTGCATGTATATTACACATGACATGATCATGAGCAGGCAAGCCATCGACACTTGTCATGAATATATAAAGGTAACAGGTAGGGGTGCACCAAAAAATGGTTTTAAATCGGAACCGTGACTCTCATTTACAAAGACTCAGAATCTATTTAAAATGTCCCAAAATCGATATATATGAAGGAAAATCCAAAGGTGGTCAACCTCCATTTTGTAACCACTTGGGATGTCCTGGCGTCACATGGAGCTGTTTCTGGAATGTATGAATGTGCAGAAAGCACCACAACAAAGAGGAAACTAAACTGGAGGAAAGAGAAATTCAACCGACCCTGTCTTCATTGAATGCAAAAATTTTTGGCTCATTTTGTTTTTTTACTGCCTGAGTCTGAGTTTGACATGAGCTTCACTGTGTGCAAAATTTGCAAAATTAAGATGAAGCACTTTAGGAACACGACAAATGGGCTCACGTTGAGTTTTGAATGAAAAAAAATCAATTTTGAGTCGAATCGTGACCCCAAAAATCTGAATCGAATCGTGAGATGGTAAAAGATTCCCACCCCCTAGTAACAGGTGAAAACTGAGGAAAATGAGGTCTTTTGTGCATCGAAGTTAGTAAGGAACGGGGGAAGGGAAGGCCAGGAGGTCAGGCTGCACAAACGCTCAGAAGGAAATCTTGTTTCTCACTAAACAACCAAACTTCCTGCCCTCTACTGTGTCTTCACACATCACGTTAGCTTTTGCTGCTCTCGCAGAGATGACACGAGGATACCACTGCAGAAAAGATGGAGATTTTTTTAACTTACAATGTAAACATTGATGTGTTGTTCTGTCATTGTTGGAATAAGAGGATGTAAAACATCTTATATTGGCGCATAAATAAAAATGAAATGTAAAAGTTTGAAATTTTTTCTAAAGCACAAAACAATGCTTCACATCACCTTATTTCAAGCTCTTGATAAGCTTAACTTCCATTGCTTCTCTTAAAAAGACCTGTCGCTAAGCTTTCTCATTATAAATGTTTAATAGCTACTGATTTATTAAGTTAATAAAATGATGTAATAATGTTTAAGTGCACTATTTATCACACTAAGTACTAGTTTTACAAATTAGTAAAAAAAAACTTCTACCTTGTTGGAACATGTTAGTCATAAATTACATTAAAATTATTCCATGGTGTCATAAAACTAGAATAGAAAGACTGCAGTCTCGTTTCTATTTAAACTTTTGTCTGCAGCATGTTTATCGCCTCTTCTAGACTCAAACTGATTAAACTGGAGAGGCAGGTTGCTGCAGGAGCGTGCACAGACTTGGGGTTTCACTTATGGATCTGTAAGGAACTGCTTGTTTTCCCTCCGGTAGGCCACACAGAAACTTAGATAAGTTTGAGTAACTGCAGTTAATGAATGTCTTCATAGAGCTGAAAGAGATGGCAGAAGAGAAAGTCAGAGTTGAGTTTATGATAAAAGTGTTAATTATCATATAGGTATTTTCTACTTACCTGGCAAATATTTTAATATTGTTTGTCTGCTTTATTGGTGGTCAAAATCAGAGCCAGAAGATGCTTTCTTTTTCTCTTCTATTACTACTAGCTTAATAGCTGTAAAATTGACTGAGTATAGCTATTTGGGTTTGAAGTCAGTTATCTGTGGTGGCCGTCTTGTATTGGTTTGACTCCAAAAGTTCCAGTGATTATTTTGTGAGAGTTTCAACGAAAAACATCCACTAGTTCATGAGATATTTTGCTAACAGAAAGACAAGCAAACACACAGAGAGCAAGCAACTACATTATCCCCAACTGCTGAAATATACATATATTGTAAAATGCACCTTTTTTTTTTGTCTTTTTAGTAAATTTGCACTCCACTTATTAGTTTAAAAATCAATGAACTTGTGCAAAATGTATAATCACTTTGGGAAACATCTATTTCAGTCAGTATTTGTCTTTTTTGGTAAATTTATAAATTATGTTTAAATCATATTCAAAACCTGTGGAAATACGTGTTTATTCCTGGATTTCTTTCAAGTCTTTAACGGAGAAGGTGAAACGTTTCACACGTTTTTATTCGGAGTTCGATGGCAGATTTGTAATTAGTAAAAGCTTTGATTTACAACTTTACTCATATGTGTGTAACCTGTTTTTTCCCCTCGATGCTTGCCTCTTGTGGTTACATTCTCTTAGGATGTGGGTACGGAGCACTCTCTTGATCATTAACCAGCAAACCTGCATAAAGATCGGTTGACTTAACTTGCAGAACATTTATAAGCAGGATTTTTCTTTACCGTACAAAGGACTTTTCAGTACGACTGTTTCTTCAAACAAAGTTAAGTTAAAATAAGTCTTTTGCTTTTCCTAACTATTACTCTACAGAATTTCTTGTGCTGCCTGAAGTGGCCTCCGTGTCTCAGGGGTGTGTGTCTGGAGATCTCCACCCTAGCGATAATGACAGACCTTCCTGGCTGCTATAAACCCCAGTTCACTGACTATTACCACAAGCTCAAGAAAACCCAAACAGTGAAGCCCTATTATGAAGCACCCACTGCCCTGTAATTTTAGGTTATGATGAAGGACAGAAGAAATATATCTGTGTCTGCCAGAATGTGAAATATTTTTGTCAAAAACAGTGTCAAAGCAGGATCATTTGAAACACGTTAAGTTCTGCGATCATCAGCTGTGAATCAAAACAGAGTGAAACTCCTCTGGGATGTGGACGTGGGAAGAAAACATCTGGTATGAGGGAAATTTCATTTCTGCCACTTGTGCTTTGGGACCTGAATCAACCATCAAGCAAGTTCGTTTTGTGTGTGTAATGGAAAATATTCCTCCAAGGCAGAAACACTTGACTAAAACAAAGGTCGTCAAATGATTTAATAAGAGTTGCATGTATGCAGAGATGAGTGGCCACCGGACAGAGAGGAATCAGCAGCTCAGTCAAGTCACCACTGAGCTAACAACAGACAGGAAATACAATTTATACTTCCGGCGTGGTGTGTGAGAGCAAGTAAGAGCCTTACACAATGGTAGAGAGAGATATCAGATGACCAATGAGAAAATAACAAGTTACACATGCAATATGAAATTGGAACAAGTTTGCAGGCATTAGATGGCGTCTTTAAGAATCATGGGAACAGATTATACAAATGTGGCAGTAATCAATAAGAGATACAGATCATGTCAATGTAACTTAGCAGATAGGGATGTTATATAATATATTTCCACCAGTGTGTGATGGTTATGTTTGCAGGAACAGTTGTATTTCAGAGCTGTTTTCAATACGTCACTTGTCAAACATAAATATCATTTTTAAATGTGATTCGATACATTTCAATACACGGACTAAAGAATTTACATTTTTCTGTGAAAACACCAAGTTAATACTGAGCTGAATGACTTCACTGAAAAACCTAGAACTGAGTTGTTGATGGCAAAATAAGCAAAAAAACTCCCTAAAAGACAAGTAATTATATGCTGCTATATTGCCAAAAGTGGCGAATGCTGGTTTAAATTGGCAAAACTCTAGGTAAAAGCTAACTGTAACCAAAGGCTAATTAGCTAAAGGTAGCCAATGAATAGAAAAAACTAAAAGTTGCAAAACAGTAGCTAAATGCTAAAAATGCAAAAGGCTAGCTAAACGTAAACAGGTGAGTTTAAAATGAAAAAAGCCTAGCTAAAAGTAGCAATAAAAAGCTAAAAGTAACAAAAAGGTTAGGTAAAAGTATGAAAAGGCTATCCAGGAGCTAAAAATATAAAAGGCTAGTTAGAATCTAAAAATATCAAAAGGGTATCTAGAAGTTAAAATAGTAAAAGTTTGTCTAAAAGAAGCGAAAATGATAGCTAAAAGTTACCTAATGCTAAATAAAAGCTAAAAGCTGTAGCTACAAAAAGGTTAGCTAAAGTTAAAAGTATTTGAAAGAAGACAAAAAGAAAGCAATTACTCTAAAGCAGATTTCAGAAAGAACAATGTTTTTCAAGACATCTCAATACATTTGTATGTGAAAAACATTTGCATACTTTAAATTATTTTAAAATGTGCAAAAGTTAAAAAACAAAATAGTGCACATCTCTTGATGGATGCCACAGAACAAACAGTACAAGTGTAGAGTAAATACAGCATTCACGCAATGAATGTAATGTTTACAAATCATAAAAATCTTACAAATCACTGACAGAAACCATGTGGCTGTCTGTAATCAGTTACCCATCAACTCTGCAGAGCTCTGATCGTTTCTGTTTTTTTCTCTCTCTGCAGGTTCAAATCCTAATGCTGATGGCAGCAAATGGGGGAGAGTTGTGCTCAACCAAGCGGTGAGGAGAAAAGACAAAGTGTGATGACGCATGTGCTTGTGCAAATCGGGGTAGAAGAAACAAACTAAAGCTAAACCGTACCGAATGTGTTTTGTAGGGGAAAGGAAACGACAAGCCAGACTCAGTGGAGGATTCAAATGCCTGGATCTCCAGCTACACTCCACAGACGTGGAAACCAGAGGTTTGTGTGGTTGTACACGTGTACACATTGGTTGCATGCTTTAATACTACACCCCACCTGACCTGAACTCTGAATGGCCTGTCTGAACTTGCCCAGGTTATTCTCAGCCCAGTGCATTTGCCTGTTTATAGTTTCTTTCTGTTTTTCCTGTTTCAGCAGTGTTTAGCAGCGCCTGCTGCTTTGTGTCAGTGTCATCATATTTCTACTATATGAAGTGGATTTGTGTGCTAGCCAGTTGCTTGCATCTTATGTTTCACGTCGAGGGTAACTTTTGCTGCTTCTAGCTCTACGGGCTAGTGTAACCACACTTTAGAAATAGAATAACTGTTCAGTTTGCACAAAAACAAGACAAAAAAGTGTATTTCAATGGTTAAATTTTGTTGTTTTATTATCATCCACGGACGAAAGGCAAAGGCAGAAGATAATGTTTTTTGAGAAGTTCTAATAAAACTAACAGGACTACAGCAGATTGCCATACTGACATAAGAGTGAATAACTATTACACTGTACTAAAGCTGAGCTTCACACAAAATGAGCCAATTGACCTTTTATCGTTTACATAAAAAACATAAGAAAGAAAAAAATCCATGCTAAATTTCACACGCAACACAGATTTAATCTTGAGAGGTTATTTTCCTGCCCTTCGTCTGAACTTCACTCTAATCTTTAACTAACTTTGCTTATGACAGCAAACTGTTGAGCTTGACCTCTAAGGAATCCAGATTAACCACACTACAGCAGGTTATTTTTCCTCTTGCTCCGACTCAGCATCCTGTCCCGGTTCTGCGAGCAACACACGTGCAGATCAGATAGCACGGCCTCTTTGGTAGGTGTCACAAAGGTGTGTGTTTACAGGACATCTGGGACTCTCCTGAAACCCAGCTGCTGCACCATATACCTTGTGTGTACTTTCCAGTGTTTCCTATAAACCTTTATTGAGGTTACACAATGTGCAGAAGGGAGGTTTGTCTTCCGCCCCCACTCGCTTGTGATTTTAGTGCGTTAAAAGGTGCTGCTTTTCCAATTACAAACCTAGTTCTGAAATTGTGCAAAAACGTGACTAAAACTGAATGTAAGGATTTGCAAATCTGTTAAAATAGATGCAGTGTGCAGTTTAGCATTGTCTTACTGAAATATGCAAAGTCTTCCCTGAAAGAAATACAAGCAATCTTGATGAGAGCACATGATGTTCTATAGTCTTTATATACCGTTTTACATTGATGTCTAAGCTGCCAAAGTCATAGGCACTAATACACCCCCATACCATCAGTGAAGCAGACTTTGGAACCGTTTGTTGGTCTAAATGGTTCCTTTCCTCCTGAGAATGGGTGTGGTGTTTGGGATTTTTCAATTTGAATTTCTGATTTGTCAGACTGCAGAACTGTTTTCCACTTTGCCTCGCTTAATTTAAAATAACTACAAGAAGACGGCAGCGCTTCTTCATGGTTGCTTATTTGCATACTAAAGCTTCATTTGTGGATGACACGGTGAAATGTTTTTGCAGACAATAGTTTCTGGAATTCTTCTTGATTCCATGCAGTGATTCCCGTAACAAAAACAAACCTGTTTTTAAAACAGACAGGTTATAGCAGCCAGGTGAAACTCTGTCAATCTTTATTTCTGATATTTCTTTTTGTTGCAGTCTTCTTACTGATCTGTTGCCAATTCAATTAGTTGGAAAATGCTCCTCCAGCTGTTTCTTATTCGTACCACTCTCTTTTTGTGAAATGTTGCTGCCATAAAAAACATATTCTTTCCCTAAAAAAAAATCATTTATTGATTCAAATGTTTTAAAGATTTTACAGAACATCCCGACTTTTTCAGATTTGGGGTCGTACTGTATATCCAAGCAGAAAGACTTTAGTTGGTTTCTATTTTTAGACACATCTCAAACAATGGGTTTCCCACATCCTGTTTTTTATTTAGCTGAACTGACCCTTTGAGTAAGCTTTGTTTACATGTCGTAACGGGTGTCAATTGTAGGCCTCGAGTGGCAGGTGAGTGCTGCTGTCCTCTCTCTACATTGTCAAGTTTGTTTGTTGGGCGTCGTTTCCTTGCCTCCGAGGCCAAATGATGGGCGGTCCTGCTGCTGCTTCTTATGACTGTCACCGCTCTCATCACTCTTCCTGCAGTTTAAGGGGCAGGCCAACCTCCATGTGTTCGAAGACTGGTGTGGCAGTTCCGTCGCTGACCTGCACAGAAACTTGCACTTCCCTTTGTATCCACATGTGAGTCACACTCTTATCATCGAAGTACAGTTATCTTGTGAAGTGTGTTGGACAGGAAATGAACAATGTAACCCCCTTATCTCATGATTATGTACCGTACTTGCCTGTGTCTGGTTTATTTATTTTTTTTGTCTGCCTGGTAGCAAAATATCTAGATGGATGGATTTAATTAATTCTTAATTTAACCTCAGATAGTTCTGTATTTTTCGGACTATAAACCGCACCGGACTATAAGCCGCACCCGCCATTTTTAAAAAAAAAACCCGCGAACATTAACATACAGTATAAGCCGCACCGGACTATAAGCCGCACCCGCCATTTTTAAAAAAAAAACCCGCGAACATTAACATACAGTATAAGCCGCACCGGACTATAAGCCGCACCCGCCATTTTTAAAAAAAAAACCCGCGAACATTAACATACAGTATAAGCCGCACCGGACTATAAGCCGCACCCGCCATTTTTAAAAAAAAAACCCGCGAACATTAACATACAGTATAAGCCGCACCGGACTATAAGCCGCACCCGCCATTTTT